AGGTCGTTTTATGTTTGTACCGCAATTAAGATCTTCAAACAGATAAAGCGAATGAACTAGACTGGTCATTCTGGCTATATTTCTGCCATTGCTCCTTCTATTGCTGCTGCTTTAGCTTCCTCCGCAATAGGAGGAGATAGATCCTCCTTGTGGCAGATATCTTCATGTGCATTCATTCATCCATGCATCCATGCACGCACCAGTGAACATGACTAGGTAGATCCTATGCGCTGTGATTGCAGAGGGTCATGTTTCTCCAACAAGGCAGTAGGCAGTGTGGTGAGTGAGGATTGTAGCAGAGACATAATGGGCGTGAGGGAGTGCGGTGTATGCAAAGGAGCTGGTTGTCCAAAGTGGCTATGTAAAGGAAGCGCTACTGTGCATCCCGACGACAAAGCCTAAGACCGAGGGAAATGGGGATTTTTGGAAGCTTTTACCCAACCTGTCAGGCCGAGATCTGCTTCGCCTCTCAAAGATAGTACTTTTTAGCTGAAGGTATATCTCTAAGAGGAGCGTGAGGAAATATAAGTAGTGTCATTCATCTCGGGCGTCTCCTGGGTTTCTGCTCCTTTCCTCATTTTGCTACTTTTTGGTTAGCTCATGTATTTCTCTCTCTTGTCTTATTCCAATTTCAGAATCAGCCTCGTTTGAAGCAGAATCGAGGCCTGCTTACAATCCAGTCACTGCTGACTCTCCTCTTTCATAGATAAAACTCATTTCAGCCTTGTGATTTTGAGTTTCATTCGGCTACACGACTTCCGCAAATTGGTCAAACTGGCATGAAGTAGGTGTATGGAATGTAACAGTCAGCGTGCTATATCAACCAGATTTATTAAGGGAGCCACGAGACACCCTACAGGGATGCCATTAGCACCTACTGTGCAGTGGTTTAACAAAGGGCTCGATGTCAAATAGAGCGGTTTAAACAGTGGCCAAATGCGTGGATGTATATGAGCACATACAAAGGATATTTGTGGAGGTTTTGAAATATAAAATGATCCTTTGGTTAATGGACTAATGAAAATTACATGATTGATGAATGGATGCAGGATAAATGAATGCATACGGGACGTACTATTACTTCCCTCGATATTAGTTCATATTAGAAATTCAAGGCATTGCCCCTACTCCGCCTTGCTACTCCACTTTACCGCATATCAAGTACTGGTCACCTCTTAATCCTACCCTCAACTTTTACCACCTCCCCACTGCGTTTACATTCATTCTTATTCCTCCATGGCGATGCCGAGCTGGTCGGCTCTAATTACTTACACTTGACTTCATCCATAAATCTGCCGATACATTTAAACTATTCGCATCTGCCTTCTTCATGTTTACATCATTGACTCTCTGCTCCATTATTTCATACTGACTCACCCACCAATTCACCTACAATAAAGTTTTACACCAACAGCGACATAATTTGCAGAAAAACTACTCTTTTTGACGGATATCTCACCCGACATCGCTTCAAACATGCTTAAGTGATACGCAGGTCGTTTTATGTTTGTACCGCAATTAAGATCTTCAAACAGATAAAGCGAATGAACTAGACTGGTCATTCTGGCTATATTTCTGCCATTGCTCCTTCTATTGCTGCTGCTTTAGCTTCCTCCGCAATAGGAGGAGATAGATCCTCCTTGTGGCAGATATCTTCATGTGCATTCATTCATCCATGCATCCATGCACGCACCAGTGAACATGACTAGGTAGATCCTATGCGCTGTGATTGCAGAGGGTCATGTTTCTCCAACAAGGCAGTAGGCAGTGTGGTGAGTGAGGATTGTAGCAGAGACATAATGGGCGTGAGGGAGTGCGGTGTATGCAAAGGAGCTGGTTGTCCAAAGTGGCTATGTAAAGGAAGCGCTACTGTGCATCCCGACGACAAAGCCTAAGACCGAGGGAAATGGGGATTTTTGGAAGCTTTTACCCAACCTGTCAGGCCGAGATCTGCTTCGCCTCTCAAAGATAGTACTTTTTAGCTGAAGGTATATCTCTAAGAGGAGCGTGAGGAAATATAAGTAGTGTCATTCATCTCGGGCGTCTCCTGGGTTTCTGCTCCTTTCCTCATTTTGCTACTTTTTGGTTAGCTCATGTATTTCTCTCTCTTGTCTTATTCCAATTTCAGAATCAGCCTCGTTTGAAGCAGAATCGAGGCCTGCTTACAATCCAGTCACTGCTGACTCTCCTCTTTCATAGATAAAACTCATTTCAGCCTTGTGATTTTGAGTTTCATTCGGCTACACGACTTCCGCAAATTGGTCAAACTGGCATGAAGTAGGTGTATGGAATGTAACAGTCAGCGTGCTATATCAACCAGATTTATTAAGGGAGCCACGAGACACCCTACAGGGATGCCATTAGCACCTACTGTGCAGTGGTTTAACAAAGGGCTCGATGTCAAATAGAGCGGTTTAAACAGTGGCCAAATGCGTGGATGTATATGAGCACATACAAAGGATATTTGTGGAGGTTTTGAAATATAAAATGATCCTTTGGTTAATGGACTAATGAAAATTACATGATTGATGAATGGATGCAGGATAAATGAATGCATACGGGACGTACTATTACTTCCCTCGATATTAGTTCATATTAGAAATTCAAGGCATTGCCCCTACTCCGCCTTGCTACTCCACTTTACCGCATATCAAGTACTGGTCACCTCTTAATCCTACCCTCAACTTTTACCACCTCCCCACTGCGTTTACATTCATTCTTATTCCTCCATGGCGATGCCGAGCTGGTCGGCTCTAATTACTTACACTTGACTTCATCCATAAATCTGCCGATACATTTAAACTATTCGCATCTGCCTTCTTCATGTTTACATCATTGACTCTCTGCTCCATTATTTCATACTGACTCACCCACCAATTCACCTACAATAAAGTTTTACACCAACAGCGACATAATTTGCAGAAAAACTACTCTTTTTGACGGATATCTCACCCGACATCGCTTCAAACATGCTTAAGTGATACGCAAAGAGCATACATGATAAATCCACCAACGCGAGAAATGCATCTCAGAGCATAGCCTACGTAAATTTAGTGAGGCGGAAGCTTAAAACAGCCATCAAGTCAAGAAAAATGAAGGTTAGGAAGGGTATTAGG